AGGGGGCGCGCCACGCGACGTGCCAGGGGGACTCGCCAAGGGACGCCCCACGGAAACGTGCCAAGTTGCAATGCTGAGTGTATCGATCTTGATGTACCATGCCGAAATCTGTGCTGTGCTGCGCCGTGCTGAACTGCGATGTGCCATGCCGCGATTGTGTTCTAGATAGCGTTGTGGATCGAGTCCTCTTTGCATCCGAGTCCTGACCGAACTGATCTGGATCTTAAGCTCGAGCTGCCTGAACACATAGTAGCTGCCCCAGAACTAATCGACAGGGGGACATGCCAGGAGGACGCGCCGCGGAACGTCCCAAAGGACACGCCAAGCGACGTGCCAGGGGACGTGCCATGGGCACGCACCGCGGGACGTGCCAAGGAGACGCGCTACGGAACGTGCCAATGGACGTGCCGCGGGACGTGCCAGGGGGCGCGCCACGCGACGTGCCAGGGGGACTCGCCAAGGGACGCCCCACGGAACGTGCCAAGTTGCAATGCTGAGTGTATCGATCTTGATGTACCATGCCGAAATCTGTGCTGTGCTGCGCCGTGCTGAACTGCGATGTGCCATGCCGCGAGTGTGCTCTAGATAGCGTTGTGGATCGAGTCCTCTTTGCATCCGAGTCCTGACCGAACTGATCTGGATCTTAAGCTCGAGCTGCCTGAACACATAGTAGCTGCCCCAGAACTAATCGACAGGGGGACATGCCAGGAGGACGCGCCGCGGAACGTCCCAAAGGACACGCCAAGCGACGTGCCAGGGGACGTGCCATGGGCACGCACCGCGGGACGTGCCAAGGAGACGCGCTACGGAACGTGCCAATGGACGTGCCGCGGGACGTGCCAGGGGACGCGCCACGCGACGTGCCAGGGGGACTCGCCAAGGGACGCCCCACGGAACGTGCCAAGGAACGTGCCAAGTTGCAATGCTGAGTCTATCGATCTTGATGTACTGTGCCGAAGTCTGTGCTGTGCTGCGCCGTGCTGACTTGCGATGTGCCATGCCGCGATTGTGCTCTATAGCCTCGTGGATCGAGTCCTCCTCTGCATCCGAGTCCTAATCTGAATCTTAAGCTCGAGCTGCCTGAACACATAGTAGCTGCCCCAGGGCTAATTGACAAGGGGACATGCCAGGAGAACGCGCCGCGGAACGTCCCAAGGGACCCGCCAAGCGACGTGCCAGGGGACGTACCACGGGCACGCACCGCGGGACGTGCCAAGGGGACGCGCTACGGAACGTGCTGGGGACAAGCGTTTCGCTCGAGACATCCTGCCAACATCCTCAGAATTCCTGCGCGCGGGGCGCGGACGCGCGAGACATCCTCGAAATTCTTGCGAGCGGGACGTGTAAACAAGCATTTCGCCTGAGACATCCTCTGAATTCTGGACCCCCACGAGGCCCCCCACGAGGCCCCCGCTCGAGACATCCCCCAATTTTGCAAAACCAGCGGTTCGCTCGAAACGTCTTCAACAAATTATGAAAGACAAGCATTTCGCTCGAGACATCCTGCCAAAATTCAAGGAAATCCTAGCAAAACAAACGAATTAGTCGAGACATCCTCGAAATTCCTGCGCGCGGGACGCGGCACGCGCGAGACATCATCGGAATTCCTGCGCGCGGGGCGCTTTTCCGTGTCGCGGTCGGCTCTGCAAAACCAGCGTTTCGCTCGAGACATCCTCAACAAATTCTGAAAACAAGCGTTTCGCTCGAGACATCCCCAACTCTGCAAAACCAGCGTTTCGCTCGAGACATCCTCAACAAATTCTGAAAAACAAGCGTTTCGCTAGGGACATCCTCAAATTTTAATTCGCCGGCCCTCTTCCCACTCGTTATTTATCGCAAAAGAAATTCGCCGGCCCTCTTCCCGTCAAACCCGGGGGGAAACCATCTAAAAGAGAACCCTGGGCTCAAGCCCTTTCCGGGAAAAAACGTTGCAACCTCGAGGGCTTGTCGTAGAAGAAAAATCGCGCGCCCAGCGCCGACGCCCAGGAACTCCAGAAGCTCTGCGCCTCCACGGCGCCGGGCCAGTAGCCCCCTCCCGGCGGCCCCCAGCCGAGTCGGGCGCGCCGGGCGCCGCTGCTCATGGCCGGTGCGCAGCACGGGCTGAGCCGGTCGCCCAGTTCGGGGGGGCTCGTGGAAGGGGGATTGTCCCAAGGTGGGGTTAGGGAAGGACCCGAGCGGGATGCTTGCATTTCCTCCTTCCGGGGGCTAATTGTGTCAGGCGGCGCTCCCCGAACCCCACTGCTGACGCTATACGACGCGATACACCACCTTTCTACGTCCCCCCGACCAGTGCCCCTCACCTACGGGGGCCGCTGCTGGCACTGTCTCTCCCTTGGTGCCAGCGGCTTTGTCTCCCCACTCAAGCAATCGTCGCGGCCATGCTTGGTTGATAAATATTATGGGGGCCTCTTTCTGGATCACGACGAAACCCGCCGAGCAGAGATAACAGATCTTCTGCGCGCCCAGGTATTTGATCTGCCACGGGATAACTACCTCATTGAGACGGCGCCCGTGTCCAGCGTCCCGTGTCCAGCGCCCGTGTCGGCGATAGCGGCACGCATGCCTCCCCAAGCCGTCGGTCCGCCTGACACTCTTCAGGGCGCCACGCTCACCCCCAGGCCCACATTGAGGGGCCTCGGCTAGTCCCCCTCCGCCTATCGAGGAACCTCATTCCGAGGGCGCTCTGCCCCCACCCCTGTCCGATGGGTCGTCTGTCAAGCAGTGGCAACCAGGCCCACCAAAACTTGCTATGCAAACCTCTTATGGTTGGCACGGCGTGTTCTCAGAACGCTTCTGGCTGGGACCGGCCTCGTGCGATACATCGGCGTTATGTTATGAGAACTTGTTGCTTGTTATGATAACGTTCTTTTGTTCAAAGAGCATGTCGTGGTAGACCAAGGAATGACTGGACGGTCGGTCCCTGCTCAAAATCAGGGGACCAGCTCAGAACTTTGGAGCCGTTGCGCAACACCTAGTGTACTGCGTCTTGGGGTTCCTGGCGAGGATCAGTTTCGTCTCTTGGTCCAGCCAGCCCACGAAGGGCTTGGCCAGTAACATAGGGGGATTAGTATTCAATGTGTTCGCACGTCCGCCGAGGGCGCCAAGGCAACGCGCCATGTTGTCGCCTGGGCAGTTGGCGAGGGGAGTCAACATACTTCCGCCCACCCGCTCGCGCCAGATTTGGCTCAGTCGCCACGGCCGCCTTTCCCCCGCGCGCGTGGGCGGAGGGGGCCCGCGCAGCCCATGCTCGGCGACTGCAATCGGTGCGGTCACGCCGGGGTGCGGTTTGCGAGTTGCTTTGTGGCGGCCTTTCCGGTGCCTTTGTGAGAGACAATGTCGTAGTTGTCGTTTCGAGCGACGCTGTCTTCCTCGATGTGTGCTCCACTGTGCTAGAAGGAGCGACAGTGGCATGCGATTCGGTCGCATTGAGTCACAGAGCCACCTGTTTCCCGGGGGCGGGAGGGGCAGATATGACGGGAGGCAAACCTTGGTGGTCCCCAAACGTGGTGGTGAGAACACCCGGTGGTGAGTTTTGGGCGATTTGGGTAATGGTTTTCGAGCGTTGGCTGGCCCAGGAAACGCAAAACCTCGTGGCGACCGCGTGTTCCCAAACCCAGTGGTGACCCAGAATTATTTTTGTTGGGGAATCGGGTCACCACCGGGTGTCTCACCACCTGGTTTGGAGAGCACCAAAAACCGCACCCTTCGCAAACCGCCCCCATTGTAGTCGCCGACGTGCCCCCTCGGCCGCGCGCGTGCGCCGTGCAGGGCCCCCGGCCAGGCCGCGAGCGCGCGGGCCCACGGAGGGCCCAGGGCCCCAGGCGCCGCCCGCTTCCCGGGGGCCCGCCGTGTTGCCAGGCACGCGAAGCCTTCGCGGTGGCTCCCTCGTTGCCCTGTCTCGAAGCCTCCCAGAAACAAACAAAACACACACACAAGAAACAACAAAAACAGCAAAACACAAAACAACACAAAAAAACACCCAAAAAACAAAAAGCAACAAAACAAACACAAAACACACACGCACACACACCACCTTCTTCCTTGTTCTGGGCTTCCCAGATGGGGTCCGAGTAGATGGGGTCGGAGGATCGCGCCGCGTCGCCGATGCATCGGCGATGCGGCTGGATGCGGAGACCGTGTTTTCCCACGCCGACGTCGCCGATGCATCGCCGACGTCACCGATGCATCGCCGATGCATCGCCGATACATCGGCGATGCATCGGCGATGCGGCGCGATCCGTCGACCCCATCTATTCGGACCCCATCTAGGAGGCCTCTACTGTCTGCGTCTGGCGGAGGCGCCCTCAAGCAGTGGCGAAGCGTCCTGGCTCGCCCATGGCCCTACCAAGCAATGCTCTAAGAGCCTTTTGTGGTTTTCAGGAAATGTTCTTGGAACATTTCTTGTTTATATTGTCTTGTTTAACACATCGGGCTTATGCTCTAAGAACATTGCTTGTGCTCTTAGAACATTTTGGGGGGTCTAAGAACATTTCGTGGTAGGACTATAGGAATGCCCGGACGGTCGGTCCCTGCTCAACACCCGGGATTTTTAACCGCGTGGCGCTCCAGCCCCTTCTCTCTTGTCTTTCGTGCCCTGCTCGAGGGCATGCCAGCCTCCTCGGCCGCGAGCTCCAGACCAAGCCTGCCTAGGCTCACCCGCCGCACCCCGTGCCCGTCCGAGCTCTGCATTTCCCGAAAGTGCGCGAGACTCTCGTGCAGCATTGGTGCAACATCTGCTCATGCTGGTGGCTGGTCCCCATCGCGCTCGGTTGACATCTCTTGGCGGAATCGCCAGCGCCGTGTAGGGCCCAATTGGTCAGTGGTGCTATCTCTCTCTCTCTCTCTCTTTTTTCTCTCTCTCTCTCTCTTTTTTTCTGTCTTTCTCTCTTTCCATCTTTCTGCGTTTTCTTCATATATGTGCTACTCTCTCTATCCCTCCCTCCTTCCCTTCCTCCCTCTCTCCCACCCTCCCTTCCTCCTTCCCTCCCTCTGGGGGGTGGATGAGCTATAGAGCGCTGCAGGACGCGCGCATCCTCTCCGACGAGCTCGCGGAGCCCTCTGTGCCCGGGGCTAGTCCGCGCAGGACGCTGGTGGTGCGGCTCAATTTGCTCACGGTCGGAGACCGGACGGTGGAGACGCGGGTGGTGATCTCCGCCGGCGTTGCGGGTCAAAATCGGAGTAAGACTCAGCCACGCGCAGAGGGGGGTGGGGGGAGGGGGGAGGGCTTCTTAGAATCACCCCTACGTCTTAGAAGGCGCGGGCCTTATCTATAGATGTAAGGCCGGCGCCTTCTAAGAAGCAGCCGGTTCTTAAAGCAGCCCGTCCCCCCTCCCCCCACCCTTGTGCGCACCGCCAAAAGACGAGGTACCAGTACCGCTGGTCGTTCTGAAGAGCCGCCGTCGCGACGGCCAGATTCTCCTCGAGAGTCTGGCCAGCACGCATCCCCAGCACCCCTGCATCCGGGGGTAGCGGTGTCGGTATCTCTTTGTTTCCCCATGTGTGTGTGGGGGGGGGAGGCAGTTTGGTCGGCGACGCGTCCAAGAATTGGCCTTCGCCAGAGCGGCCCTTGGTGCGGGCCCACGGGGTTCTCCCCAGCACTGGCCTCCGCGGTCGGATTTGGCCCCAACCCCCTTGCGGCCCCCACACAGCACAACAATTCAGCCACGCGCAGAGGGGGGTGGGGGGAGGGGAGAGGGCTTCTTAGAAGCACCCCTGCTTCTTAGAAGGCGCGGGCCTTATCTATATAGACGTGAGGCCGGCGCCTTTAAGAAGCAGCCTCCTTCTAAGAAGCCTTCCCCCCTCCCCCTACCCCCTTTCGCGCGCCGCCAAACAATTGACGATCTCAAACCTGTGGTGTACGTGATGATAGCTTGTTTTGCGGGCGCTCTGTGGTGGGCTTTCGCCGGCCTCGCCGGACGCCGCGCGCCGAAGGGCACTTCTGCCCAGGGTCACCCGCGCGCGTCGCCGGCTGGGAGCCTCGAGCGCTCGGGCGTTTTGCCGGTCTCCGCCTCGGCGGCTGGGCGCGGCCCACGAGCCAGGATGCTGGCCAGGAGGGGTCCCGGGACAGGCTCTGAGCGGGTGCGTGGCTGGGCGGAGAGTGGAGGGGATCTTTAAAACAGGGCTAGGATCGGGATAAATCGCTCCAGAGCGTTCCGGAGCGCTCTCAGAGCGGTCCGGAGCGCTCTCAGAGCGTTCCAGAACGCTCTGGAGCGGCGGCGGCGCCCAATACATCCTCCAAACCTGCCGATTCTCAGAGATTTCGAGTTATCCCGATCCGATTTTGTCCCGATCTTCGCGTCGTTCTAATCTTAGCTGCTCCGATGCGCGCCTTTCGAAGCGTCACACGGGCCGTCGTGCTCGAAGCGTCCGTGTCCAAAACGTGCGTGCTCCGTCTGCGTGCTGAGCTCCGTATCCATACGCCGCGCGTGCTGCGTGTGGCGTATCTGGGGGCAGCCAAGGAGGGGACAGGGCTTGGCATCGCTCGGGCGTGTGCGTGTTTTGTCCTCCGGCGAGGGCCATCGAGGCGCATCCTTGGTCGCTTTCGGCGAAAAAGCCACGCACACAAAACCGAAAAAAACACAGGGAAAGGACGCCCGAGCGATGGCCAGAGGGACCCTCGCGGCTGGGGGTGTCGTAGAAGAGCACGGCGGCCCTTCTCGCCCGAGGCTCGGGCTCTCTCTGGCGGGGTCTTCGCGGATCGATTCGGCTCGAGAGTCCCGCTCAAAGAAAGACGGGGAGCAGTGCTCGTTTTTGTTGTACCACGGCGCCGTGACAGGGTGCCCCGGCTGTTACCTGCAATGTTTCAAAAGTCATCTGCCCCCGCTGCCTATTTCTTTCCCCGCTGTCACCCCCCCGTTCCTCATCCTTCGCCCCCGCCCTGCCGCCATCCCCTCTCCACCCCCGCCCCCAGCCACTTCCCTTCCGTTTCCCTGCCTCCGTTTCGTTTTCTTTGTCCTGCCCGCTCTCGTTCCATTTCGTCCCTGCCCCCCTCCCGTCCCGTTATGCGCGACAATCTTCAGGAGCATCGTCGCCATCGCTATGTGCAGGCATCGCAGCCACATCGTCATCCATGATGGGCCTGTTTTCCACCACCACCACCACCACCAGAAGTTGGAGGGGGAGGGGGTCCTCCTCTTCTTCGTCCTCCTCCTCCTCGTCCTCCTCCTCCTCCTCCTCCTCCTCCTCCTCCTCCTCCTCCTCCTCCTCCTCCTCCTCCCCCCCTCCAACTTATGGTGGCGGTGGTGGAAAACACGCCCATCAATCCATGGCGGCCCAGCGGTCCGATCAAAGCAGCAAAGACCAAGAGGGACGCGAGGGGCACATCACCTGAGGAAGGACCTGCTCCCTGGGCGCTTGCGCCACGCCGTGGTGGCCCAGATCCCCACTCGTCACATGTCCTCTCCAACCAGAGGCCCTCTCTTGGGATACTCCCAGGTGTCGCGGCGGGGGACGCGTTCATGCTGGTGTCCACCTGCAGGGAGGCAAGGTCCAAAGCAGCTCAAAGCCACAGAGATAGCTCTTGAGGCGGAGGGGGGCTGCAGGGGGAGGAGGCAGGGGAGGAGGGGAATGAGAAGGAGGAGGAGGAAGGAGGAGAGGAGGAGGAGGAGGAGGAGGAGGAGGAGGAGGAGGCCGAGCGTCTCTCTGTGTGATCTGTTTTCCTTCCGCGCGCCAGATCCTGCCCCAAAGCCCCCCGGAGGCCCCAAGACGGCCAGAAGCGCCCAGAAACTCCGCGAAGTCGTCCAAAAGCCCCCTTCTCGATCTTCGAGGATCAAAAATGATCCTCCTCCTCCTCCTCCTCCTCCTTCCCTTCCTCCTCCCCTCCTACCTCCACCCTCCCTTACCCCCCTCCTCCACCTCCTCCCCTCCTCCTCCTCCCCTCCCCTCCAACCTCCTCGAACGCTCCTCTCTATTATCCTTCCTTACCTCCCCCCCCTTCTCGATCCCTCTCGATCCTCGAGGACCGCAAAAATGGAAGCCCGCCATCCCCGTGGTCCGCAGGAGGCCCTCGCACACCTCGCTGCCCTGCCCGGGCCGCCCGGGGCCCCGGGGCGCAGCTCAGCCCCGGGCCTCGGCCGGGAGGGCGCGCATGCGCGGTGCCCTCGGAGGCCCAGGGCGGACCCGGCCAGCGGGCAGGGCGGTGGTGCGCGGGTGCCCGAGCAGTTTCTTTGGGTGGAGGGCAAAGGGCGAAGCCTGAAGTGCCGTTTCGATGGGTTTTCGAGGCTTGAATCTGCAAAGAGCGAGCAACAGAACGTTTCGAGGCCTGAAGCTGCAAACAAAGCGAGCAACAGAACGGATGGATGTTCGAGGTGCAAAAGCCCATCTGGATTTCACCCTGAGCCCTCCACCCTAAGAAAATGCCCAGGGTGCCTCCTGTGTGCGCAGGGGGACGCGCAGCAAGAAGTAAGGCGGGCGTGTCCCCCTGCAGGGAGATTTTCGACGAATGCAATATATATATATATATATACACATATATATTCATTGGCAACATGAGAGCGCAGCGGCTGTGATGATGCGAATATATATATATATATATATGTATATATATACATATATATGTGTATATATACATATACATAAACATATGTGTATATATATGTATATATATATGGACATTCCCAAACATACCCCTAAGAAGGTCAACAAATATTCAAAAAAAACGTCCCCTGACTATTTTTGGACTATTGTTTGATTGGTTTGGGGTATTTTTCCTAACAGCGAAGACTGATAGGTTTCTAGTGGTGTCAAAAGAGAGCAGCAGATGACTCCACAGGGGGGTCTGGGCGGCATCCGGGGAGCTGTGTCCGAACTCGTGTCCGAACTCGTTTTTCGCAAACAGTCACACACTTCGTGCTCTTCGAGTTCCCAGAACTCCATTCCCGGGCCACATTCTGAATGCCCGGAGCCAACTGTAGGCCACTTCGTGCTCTTCGAGTTCCCAGAACTCCATTCCCCGGCCACATTTTGAATGCCCGGAGCCAACTGTAGGCCACTTCGTGGTCTTCGAGTTCCCAGAACTCCATTCCTGGGCATGATTTTGAATGCCCGGTGCCAACTGTAGGCCACTTCGTGGTCTTCGAGTTCCCAGAACTCCATTCCTGGGCATGATTTTGAATGCCCGGACCCAACTGTAGGCCACTTCGTGGTCTTCGAGTTCCCAGAACTCCATTCCTGGGCATGATTTTGAATGCCCGGAGCCAACTGTAGGCCACTTCGTGTTCTTCGAGTTCCCAAAACTCCATTCCCGGGCCACATTTTGAATGCTGAGGCAGGCTGAGGCTGAGGCTGAGGCAGGCTGAGGCTGAGGCAGCCTTGAGGCTGAGGCCGAGGCTGAAGGCGATGAGGGCTGAGGCTGAAGCAGGCTAGGTGAGGTGAGGCTGGGCTGAGGCTTCGAGCTGAGGCAGGCTGTATGATGCTGAGGCAGGGCTGAGGCTGAGGCTGATGCAGCTGAGGCTGAGGCAGGCTGAGGCTGAGGCTGAGGCCGACGGCAGACTGAGGCTGAGGCTGAAGCAGGCTGCGGCTGAGGCTGAGGCAGGCTGAGGCTGAGGCTGAGGCAGGCTGAGGCTGAGGCAGGCTGAGGCTGAGGCTGAGGCTGATGCATGCTGAGGCTGAGGCACCCTGAGAATGAGGCCGAGGCTGAAGCAGGCTGAGGCTGAGGCTGAGGCAGGCTGAGGCTGAGGCAGGCTGAGGTGAGCGCCGTGGCTGAGCCAGGCTGAGTGCAGGCTGGCTGAGGCTGAGGCTGAGGCTGATGCAGGCTGAGGCTGAGGCAGGCTGAGGCTGAAGGCCGAGGCCGAAGTCAGATGAGCTTGAGGCTTGAGGGCTGAGGCTCAGGCTGAGGCAGGCTGTTGTTGAGGCAGGTGAGGCTGTGGCTGAGGCTTGATGCAGGGAGGCTGGGGCAGGAGGCTGATGCTGAGGGCCGATGGCGAAGGCAGGCTGAGGCTGAGCAGGCCGAGCTGAGGCTGAGGCAGGTGATGCTGAGGCAGGTGAGCTGAGGATGTGGCTCATGCAGGCTGAGGCTGAGGCAGGCGGAGGCTGAGGCCGAGGCTGAATGCAGATGATGCCGAGGTGTAAGTCAGATTGAGGCTGGAGGCTCGCTGGCAGGCTGAGGCTGAGGATGAGGGCTGATGCGGTTGAGGCTGCGGCAGGTGAGGCGTGTGCCCGAGGCCTGAGGTGAGGCTGAGGCTGAGGCTGAGGCAGGCTGTTGCTGAGCCAGGCTGAGGCTGAGGCTGAGGCTCATGCAGGCTGAGGCTGAGGCCGAGGCCGAGGCCGAGGCTGAAGGCAGACTGATGCTGAGGCTGAAGCAGGCTGAGGCTGAGGCTGAGGCAGGCTGAGGCTGAGGCTGAGGCTGAAGGCAGACTGATGCTGAGGCAGGCTGAGGCTGAGGCCGAGGCCGACGGCAGACTGAAGCTGAGGCTGAAGCAGGCTGAGGCTCAGGCAGAGGCAGGCTGAGGCTGAGGCTGAGGCAGGCTGATGCTGAGGCAAGCTGAGGCTGAGGCTGAAGCCGAGGCCGACGGCAGACTGAAGCTGAGGCCGAGGCTGAAGGCAGACTGATGCTGAGGCTGAAGCAGGCTGAGGCTGAGGCTGAGGCAGGCTGAGGCTGAGGCAGGCTGAGGCTGAGGCTGAGGCAGGCTGAGGCTGTGACTGCGACTGCCGTTGCCACTGCGACTGTCATCGCGAATGCGACTACGACTGCGAGAACAGCAGAATTCTACAACTGGATTCTCATCTGAATCTTAAGGGGAATGCTTCCAGATATGCTCCTACACATCGCTGTTAGGTTGCTTTGCCGGGATAATTTATTTGTCGTCGAAAGTCCTCCTGTAGGGGGACAGGTCCGACTTAAAGCAAGAAGCCAGATGCGCTTCGGGGGGGGGGGCCTGGGTTTCTTGGCTCCGCGCGGTGCGCGGTGGCTCCCCGCGGCCGTCAAAGAAGTTTCTGCGCTCGGGGTGCCCTGGCTTTCCCCCAAAGATCGCACCTCGCGCGCGGATGCTCAGGGCTGGGTTTCTTGCGAGGGTTTCTTGTGGCCGCATCCGCCCTGTACGCGTGGTCGTAGCTGCCCCAAATAAGGTCGAGGCCTCCGAGCTGGGGTCAGAGCAGGTAGGGTCGGAGGATCGCACCGCATCGCCGATGCATCGGCGATGCGGCTGGATGTGGAGCCCGATTTTCTCCACGCCGACGTCGCCGATGCATTGCCGACGCCGCCGATGCCTCACCTATGTATACGCGATGCGTCGGCGATGTGGCGCGATCCTCCGGCCCTACCTGCTCCGTAGACGCGCTAACGGTGTGTTAGCTGACGGAGACGTAGGAAAAAGCAATTGTAGGAAAGCGGTGTTCGTGGCCAAACCACTTGTGGGAATGCGTGGTTCGTGTTTTCCTACAACTCGCTGTGCCGTTCCCGTTCGATGCCTGCGCGCATTTTCAGTGCAGGAAGCGGTGCTTCGTGATTCCCTGCATGCTCTTCTGCGTGGCCTCGGCGTCACCACCAACAAAACAGATTCCCGACCGCACCGTCGGCCAAGCACGCCGTGAGCGCGGCCTCGGCACGGCTCCCACCCCACCTGGGAGAGGCCTCTGCCTTCTCTAGGCATCGCTCGGACGTGTGCATTTCTCCCTCGGCGAAGACCCTCGAGGAGCATCCGTGATCATTTGGCGAACAAAAACCACGCACGAGACCGAACGAGAACACAGGGAATGGACGGGCCAGTCCTAGCTGCCCCGCACGAGAAGGTGGAGCACGGCGCGCGGCCGCCTCGAGGCCGCCGCCAGGTCCCTCGAGGTGGGGCTCCCGACGCCGCCCGTGGCCGGCTGAGCCGCCCTCCTCCTCCCTTTCCTCCTCCTCCTCCTCCTCCTCCTCCTCCTCCTCCTCCTCCTGCTCCTCCTCCTCCTCCTCCTCCTCCTCCTCCTCCTCCTCCTCCCTTCCCCCTCACTTCCTTCTCCTCCTCCTTCCTCCTCCTTCCCTCCTCATCCCTCCTCCTCCCCCTCCTCTCCCCCCCCGTCCTCCCCTCCTCCGCTCGCCTCGCTTTGCGCGGCGCGAGCGGCGGCCCGCATCGCGCGCGTGCCGCGGGCGGCTCCGCGCCCGGGCGGCTCCGCGCCCGGGCTCGCCGCCCGCGGGGGCGGCTCGGGGCCCTGGCGCGGCGGAGCGCCGATGGGCGGCCGAGCGCCCGGGGGCGGCCGAGCGCCTCGTCATTATGTTTGGGGTGTGTTTGGAATCTGTTGTGGGCCATGTTGTAATTCAGGAGGGGAAGAAACACACAGACACAATTAATCGGCGATTCCCAGAAAATATGGGAAAATATGGGAAGTGGGGGGGAAGACAAACACCCAGAAAATATGGGAAAATATGGGGAATCTTTTTATTTGTGTGTATTTATTTGTGTGTCCCAGGGCCCCTTCATTATTTTTCGTCGAAAATCCCCCTGTCGGGGGACACGCCCGACTTAAGGCTACAGCGTGCTCTTTCGGAGGTCGATGTTGAGCGCTATCTGTGCAACGCCAACCGTGCCCTGACGACTGGCCGCCTCGTTGCTGCTCGTGCCGATGGCCTGCTTCGGGCCCCCCGCCCCGGGGGCGCCCGAAGCTTCCCAGGCTTCGGTCGGGTACGTCCTCATACAGGCGGGTTCTGGACGACAAAGCAAGAATAGCCAACAAAGATCCAAGAATAGCCACACATACTAAGACAAATCGTCCCCCCTCACTATTTTTTTCGGGGGGGGGAGTATTCCTCCTGTAGAGGGACACGCCCGACTTAATCCCAGGCTCAGGAGGGAAAACGATGCACAGACACAAACAATCATGGCTTCCCAGGGAAGTATGGAGAGTTCGGGAAGTGGAGGGGAAGACGAGCGCCCAGGAAAGACGGCAAAAATATGTGGGACGCCTAGGGTTTGTGTGTATTTGCTTGAGTGTTCTTGGGCCCCTTCACAGGCATGCGGCGTCCTGATATGTGTCAGCACGGGGTCCCCATAATCTTGGACTCCCAGACGGGGTCGGAGGAGCGCGCCGCATCGCCGATGCGGCTCGATGTGGAGCCCGATTTTCGCCACGGCGACGGCGCCGATGAATTGCCAACGTCGCTGATGTATCGCCGATGCATCGCCGACGCATCATCGATGCGGCGCGATCCTCCAGCCCGCATCTGGGAGGCCTCTACGGAAGTCCCGACCCTTCTCTTGGGGCCGGCGTTTCCTCCTGAGCTGTCTGTTGGCTGTCCTGGGGCCCCGTAGGGGCCCCGTAGGGGCCCAGAACGACGAACCGTCTCCTGTCCTGTTTTCCTGCCACGACGCGAGCAGGCCTGGGCCCTCGTGCGGCCACGCGCCCGCAGCTCGGGGAGCAGACCACGGCAGGAACGTTTTGCCTCCTCGGAGCTCCGCGCCGAGGCCTCGGAATCGGCGCTGGGCCCCCGCGGCGGCGCCTCCGGCGCCCCCTCCCCTGGCGCGCGGAGCGCGCCACGGGGGGGCCGCCCAGCACCGCTCCGAGAAGTCCACGCAGAGCTCCGAGCGCTCATGTTCATGCCACCACTTTGCTCCCCGAGGAGTGGCCCAGGGCTCGACCTGAACGGTGCTTTGGCGATCTCGTGGGCCGTTTTCGCCCTGGTGCCGTCTTGCAGGAGAGAAGAGGAGGGGCGACGACAGACCGAGGTGAAAGCGCAAGCAAAACGAAACCGAAAAGCAGCGCTTAGATTTAAATCGGGCGTGTCCCTCTACAGGAGGAATATCCAAAACTAGTCCAAACGTACTCCTGGGACTATGTTTGGGTATTGGTAAACCAGTTTTGAAGATTTCCCCATATTCTAAGATGTGGTTCTTGTTATTACGTTCACCGCGCCGGGATGACAGTCACATTCACACCTCACTCATCGCCTAGACTCGCACATCACTCAGACTCATGTTATGTTACGCTATGATATGTGAGGCTGACGATCATCGTGCTGATGATGATGGCGATCTTCATGGTGGTTGTTATGATGATGCAGCTGATGACGGTGATGATGATGATGGTGGTGATGATGATGGCGACATCATTGATGATGATGACGATGATGGTGATGGTAATGATGATGGTGATGGTGATGGCGATGGTCACGGTGATGATGATGATGATGATGATGATTATGACGATGATGGTGATGGTGTTGATGCTGATACTGCTGATGATGATGACGACCATGATGACCATGATGATGATGATGTTGATGATGATGATGATGATGATGATGGTGGTGGTGGTGATGATGATGATGCTGCTCATGCTGCTGCTGATGATGATGATGGTGGTGGCCATGATGATGGTGATGCTGATGCTGATGCTGATGCTGATGCATATGCTTATGATCATGATGATGCTGATGCTGCTGCTGCTGATTATGATGATGATGATGATGATGATGATGATGATGATGATGACGATGATGATGATGATGATGATGATGATGATGATGATGATGATGATGATGATGATGATGATGATGATGATGATGATGATGATGATGATGATGATGATGATGGATGTCTCGAGCGAGGCGCGGGTTTCAGCACCCCCAAGGGGGAGCCGCCAGGGGGTATCTTACTCCTCCGTTCGCGCTAAAATGGCGGGGATGCCTCGAGCGGTTTGCCTGTTTGTGCCCCCAACATCCTCCGATTTCAGAGCAGATTTTGAGGATGTCTCGAGCGAGGCGCCCCCACGGGGGAGCCGCGTATCCACTCCTCAGTGTGTTACATCGGTTCCTATAGATTGGGCCTCCCCTGGGGCACGAGTCCTTTGTGTTTTACGCGACTTCTATAGGTTGCCCCTCTCCTGTGGCTTCAACCCAAAGTGTTTACGTCTGTTCCTACAGATCGGGCCTCTCCTGGGGCACGAATTCTCCCCAGGAGGCCCCACGAGGATCCAGGAGGCTCCTGGAGGCCCCAGGAGGCCACGCGAGGCCCCAGGAGTTTTCAGGAGGCCACAGGAAGCCCCAAGAGGCCACAGGAGACCCCAGGAGGCTCCAGGAGACCCCAGGAAGCCCCAGGAGTTGTCAAGAGGCCCCAGGAGGCCCCAGGCTCATGCGCAGAGACGCACTAAACTATTGATACTCATTCACACTCCAACTCATTCACAGTTAGATCCACTCCCAGACCGTCAATTATCAAGCCCGCTTCTATTCGAAAGCTCTTGGGCCTAGACACTCACGGCGGAAAGGTCCATGCTAATAGGTGCACATATGGGGAGCTCCAGGCAGTAAGTAGTTTGATAATGTTTTGTTTTTCGTCCGAAGTCCGCCTGTCGGGGGACATGCCCGACCTAAGCTTAGATTGAGCCCTGGAGCTGGAGTGGTCCTTCGCCGGAGCCCTTCGCCAGAGCAGCCTTACCACCCATCGAACCATGCCAATCCATCCCGAACGCCCCAATTCCCCCTCCAGTCCCAGCGGGGAGGAGGAGGAGGAGGAGGAGGAGGAGGAGGAGGAGGAGGAGGAGGAGGAGGAGAAGGAGGAGGAGGAGGAGGAGGAGGAGGACGAGGAGGAACGAGGAGGACGAGGAGGACGAGTAGGACGAGGAGGACGAGGAGGGGAGGAGGAGGAGGGGGAGGCAGGAGGAGGAGGATGAGGAGAGGAGGAGGAGGAGGAGGACGAGGAAGGACGAGGAGGACGAGGAGGACGAGGAGGCCGAGGGGACGAGGAGGACGTAGGAGGAGGAGGAGGAGGAGGACAGGAAGGAGAGGAGGAGGAGGAGAGGAGGAGGAGGGGGACGAGGAGAGGAGGAGGAGGAGGAGGAGGGAGCAGGAGGAGACGAGGAGGACGAGGAGGACGAGGAGACGAGGAGGAACGAGGACGAGGACGTAGGACGAGGGACGAGGAGGAGGAGGATGAGGGAGGAGAGAGGAGGAGGAGGAGGAGGAGGAGGGGAGGGGTGAGGGGAGGCGGAGGAGGAGGAGGAGGAGGTGGAGGAGGAAGAGGAGGAGGAGGAGGAGGAGGATGAGGGAGGAGGAGGAGGAGGGGGAGGAGGAGGAGGAGGAGGAGGAGGAGGAGGGGAGGAGGAGCAGGAGGAGGCGGAGGAGGAGGAGGAGGAGGAGGAGGAGGAGGGGGGCATCGGGGAACCTGGCAAAAACACGTGTGGAACCCGCCCCCCCCAAACCCGGAATGTGGGTCTTTGGGCTGCGTTGGGGTTGTCTGGCAGGTAGTCATAGCATCTGGGCGCGCTAGGGGGATAAGCAATGACACAAACATGAAGGTTCAGAGTTCCACGCAGATTTGTCAGATCGGCGCTGGACCCCCCTCCCTGGCGCGCGGAGCGCGCCAGGGGCGGCGCCGGAGACGCCGACACGGGGTCCAAGCGCCGATCCGAGAATCCTGCGCGGACCTCCGAGTTGTTATGCTTATCGAAGACGCCTGCGGTGAGTCACCGCCGCCCCCTGCCTTTTGGAGTCGCCCACGTGGCAAGAGTTCTGCCAAGCTATCGGACCATGTGCGCCCCCTGCCGTTTTAGAAACCCTTCGGGGAACACTTGGGGGAAGATGGCGGGGAAGATCATGAGAAGGGGGAGGAGGGGGCATCTTGGGAGCCTCTGGGAGCACTCTTGGGGCCTCCTGGGAGCTTTCTGGGAGCCTGTTGGAGGTATCTTGGGGGGCCTCTTGGGAGCGTTTGGGGGCTTCTCGGGGGCCTCTTTGGCTGTCTTGGGACATTCCTGGCACGTCTGATGCCGTCGGAAGCCGACTTGGGGGCCTCTCTGGGCCGACTTGGGGCCCTCTTGGGGTGCTCCAGGGCCGTCTTGGAGGCCATCTTGAGCGTCTCGGAGGCCCCTTGGGCCGTCTTGGAGGCCATCTTGGGCGTCTCGGAGGCCTCTTGGGCCGTCTTGGGGCCCTCTTGGGGC